ATATATATAAACAACAGCTTTAAGCTCCATTTATCCAGGTCTTCGTTCATCTGTTGCATGGCAAAAATAATTTGTCAGGCTGTTAACAGGCACCCTAAGTCTGCTCCTGGTGTCAGCATTATAAACCCAGTGATACATGAAGTCTGTTACCTCAGCAGGACGAGAAGCGGGCCCTGGAAGAGATCTTGAGTTCAAGCCACCCAGTGGCAGGATACATTTTTAATTCTCTATTTAAGTTTTCAGCTTTTTTTTGTCAGGTTTTTGTCTCTTAAAGGGAACAGTCTTCCAACTCATATCGTGTAATCGCTATGTAAATGAGTGTATTTGTTTGTACGCATCTAATCTACCACCGTACAAGGTGTACACAGGAGTGTTGCATCTGACGCATTCCTGTTTAAGCCGTATGGCTTGTTTGAATCTTTGGGAATGATGACAAACTTGTTTGTGTCTATCCCTTTGCTGTTCCTCGCTTTCACTGTCAGTGGAGTTTAACATGGTCTCTGCTTCTTTAACTTTATGCTTATTCTCTGTCTTGTCTCCCTTATCTCTGCAGGCTTGAAGAAGGGCTTGTTCCAAAAGGTGGCACTGGCCCTCAAACTCAAAGGTCAAGCATTGTTTGGGTGGAGCTCAATGGATCATGGTGATGAATGTTAAATTTTTTTTCTTGTCCAACAATTTCAACAAATTGGATGTGATGAACCAGTGTAGAGGTTAATACTGTGCAGAATTCAGTTGTTTTGTGTAAGAATTTCAGCTGATTTTTGATTTATCTTTATCCTCTTAGATCAGTTTGAGAGGGAGGGTGGAGCAATGTCACAGATTCAGGGGGGCGGGGTGGACCTCTGTGATAACCTACCCAACTCTGAAGCCCTCGCTGCTCAAACCCGAAACCTCAATGAGACAAACACGCTCACGCAAACTCAAAGTGTCTCTTCTTCACAAAATGGGGATGAGGGAAGATGTGGTTCCATCCAAAGAATCGCTCTTAACAACAATGGGAAGGAAGAGGAAATAGGACTGGGAAAGGAGGGATGCATAGGAAGAAACCAAGAGAAGGAAGAGGAAGATGATATTGATGAAGCGATGAAGGAAGACGATGACGAGGAGGAATCGGTGGAGTCAAGCTGTTTAAATCGCTGCCAGTCTCCAGACACTCCCATGACAGACTCTTCATATTCAGAAACTGGTAGGAAACCCAATGAGCTGCACACATAATCACAGAATCGTATTTCTGTTCCTGAGAACAGTGTCCTCAGCCTTCACCAGGAAGGCACTTCAGGTCTAAACAGGATTCATCACAGTGGAGGCATCACTCAAGTAAAATTGGTAACGCAGCATGTTGCTGCTGGAAGCAAAACTGTAGGCAGAGGGAGTGACTAAATGAAAAATCAGAACAAAGAGGATACATTTTATTTATATTTTGATTTTTGATTTTGCTGTCATTAGTCTATTTTTACAGAATTTTTTTTCTATTTACTGTTAAAAATTATTATTAAACTTTAAAACCTGGCCACACTAATGTAAGTCAATGTCTACTCCCAAAAGGTCAAATCACAGCCACTAGTATATCCTTCAGTTTGTTTAAAGTAGCTACTTAACAAATAATGAAAAAAATACAGAAATTCTAACATGTTAACAATCCAGGAATGTCTTTTTTTAAAGTTATGCACGTAATTGATTAAAAAAAAATCCAGTTTACAGTGTGACACGCAAATTAAGTATTATAAAAAGTAGTTATTTAATTAGAAGTGTAATCTAGTTTGTTAAATGTTTTCCTGCCTACAGTCTCAGCATGTAAATGCTAAGTGTGCAACACTTCTTCACAAATGCTAACTAAACACTCAGTAATATTAATGTGTAGAGGCTGTGTCTGAAGTATTACTGCGTAACAATTCAAGAAGAATCCAGCGTTCTGCTCAGGATCAGGCTTACTGTTTAAATGCCTTTTGTGTAATGCATTAAGTGGTCAGCATATTGGATTGAGGTCAGTCTGTCTGGGGGTGATGATGTCATCGATCATGTAACTAGAAAAAGTGACTCAAGATAGAGAACCTGAACAAATCTAATTGAGGGCGGCTGCATGTAGAGCGAGGAGGGTATCTGAGTAGAGGAATAAGTTAAGAGAAAGACAAAAGAAGTAGAAGCCAAAATATTGAATCCCAAAATTGCTTAAATACAATAGAATAGATAAAATAAATAATGTTAAAAAAATAGTATAATATATAAAATAAAACATGGCAATAAGGGTAATGCTACACAACAAGAGTTCAATTAAATAGAAAAATTAAAGGCAAGTAAAAGTAAAAATATTAAATAAAATACAAAACTGGTGTGAAAAGTGTAGTAGAATACAGTAAATTGAAATAAATCAAATGGCTCACATTAAACAAAAGGAAATAAGACCTCTGACATGTAAAAAACAAGCAAACAAAAAAACAAGCATATCAAATGGAAGACGACCTTAAAGTGGCTCAGAAAAACAGACTATGAAGTGTAGTTGA